TCAACCGCGATGAAGAGTTTCCACGCCGAACACAGTCGTTTGGAGATCTTCTTGAATAGTTGCGTAGAAAAGCACACGGAAATTTTGGACTGTTTGGTACAGGTGAACGAGGTGTGCGAATACGTCTTTTCTCTGATCTACGCCGTGGCTCTGTACGTCAATTGCTTTTTCATTTACGTGGTGGCATTCATCGACATAAACTTGCTTCTGAGAATACTCATTTCGATTTTATGTTTAGCCTTATTTTTAGTGACTTTTCTACTTTCCTTTGCTTTGTCCCGTTTAACATCTGAGGTAAGCGCTGTCTTCATTTGCGTAATAAAAATAAAAAATACATAAATACGTTTCTCGTGTGGATAATTTTCATTTATAAATTATTGTATCGTCATTCGAATTAAATGGCTACGACGCATTTCTTTTACGATTTATTATTTTGTTCTTTAGAATTCGCATCCCAAATAATCGAATGAGGTGAACTTACAATACGAAAACAGTAGGCAAATAAAGATAAAAAATTTTATTATTATAATATTGTATAGTGAAAGACAGAATAGGGAATTAAAACATACGCGAAACAGCAATTTTTCTTTTTATCATTCTCTTCACTTCGTCTCGGTATCCAATTATAACCTTTTCCAATATTTAATTTAAGTGTTCCCACTGTGTCGAGACTGGAGGAACCTGGTGAAAGCAATTCGCTGGAGGAAGCGAAAAATAGAGGAAATGAACGACACGTCGGACACGACGTGGTTTCCTGCGAATTTTGCCATTTCGCGAATGTGTGAACTAACCTTTAGTGCCATAGGGCGAAAAGAGCTAACTTAAAATTTGTTTAAACAATTTATGCTATTTAACTTATTTAACGTATGAAATATTTATGCAATTGCAAACCGTAATATAACTAACATATAACTTCAAATAGAAAAGCGTACCTTTTATGGCTACTCTCTCTATTAAAACAGCATTTATAGAGTCATCCGTTAAGATATTTAATTATTAAAACTTTATAGACTGGTAGCGCCATACAGTTTTAAATTTTGCCGAAGTTAACGAAGTCGTTGCTGGAGTCTTTTATTTTCGTGTTGTATCGCAATGAATACCGTTTTCAATCTCTTTTATAACATACTTTACAATGCAGAGTTTAACGCGAACTTATTCTAAAAATAATTAATAAAATATAAATTAAATTAATTTTCATTTCTTTTGTTTTTAGTTGTACAATAGCTTCATAGAAATCAGAAGATTTTCTTCGGTCCACATAAAAATTGAAAGCAATCTGAAGGTTGACACTGCTTAAATACTTTAATAATTTAATAATTAATTAATTGTAATCTATTTTGCTTAATATACTTATCTGATTAGTTTCTAGATTTCATGAAGAGATTCGGAAAGACCCCGATTGGTATTTCTGTCGGAGGATTCTTTTTCATCAAGAAAAACTTTGTCACGAGAGTGAGTACCTCTTTCTCGTGTATTTCGTTAGACCCGAATTTAGTTTTTCACTAACGATGTGTGCGACGCGTTAGACACCCATTAAGATTTTTCCGAGTATATTATTTAAACAATATTTAAATTTTAAATCTCAGTTCTAGCATCCGAGTTTCACATTCTGTGTTCTTGTAATTATAAACACTCGAATAAACGACTTTCTTATTTTACAGATGTTAAGTGGATTTTATTCTATTTTGTCAACGTTGTTGAAGCTCGGCAACGAGAAGAAAAGTGGATGCATCTCGACAGAAAACAACAAAACCGATTCCTTCGACATATTGTCAGTTTTCGATAATTTATAATTACCTTTTCTATAAAGTTCTCATCGTTACAAACGAACCGATTTCGTAGAGAAACCGCATCGATGTCCGCCGCTACACATATTTTTTTCCGACCGAAAAGGAGTTAAGAAAGTTAAATCGGAAGGTTTCTATCCGGGTTAGGAGGACGTATTTCGAGAATGGCTCCTTGATAATATACAAGACTATGTAAATGAGATTAGTTCTATATCATTGTTTACCACATAATTCCCTAGTGAAGAATAGCGCAACCGGAATAAAACCCGCATTTGATGCATCGCCTGAACTACTTTTAAGAAATGTCTCGAAAAACAGATTAAATCTTGTCGAATTGATTCCTACGTTGTGTGTCTCGGTAGGGTCGGACTTAATGACGATTTTACACATTATTAGCAGTTACAATTCTTTTATAAAACCCATCCCTACTTTCAAAATTAAGCTTTCTGCCATTTTATAATAGTTAAGAATATAGAAAGATTTTTAATAAAATATAAGAAGAGATGGTGCCACTAAATGTTGCCGGGAAAGTTAAGCAACTCGTTGCTGGACTTTTTTTGTCTGCGCTGTTTTGAAGCCTTCTAATGCCAGACATGCCAGTACGATACGTCTTCGTGCACGACTGACGGAAGTTGAGAAAGACCGCATCGTTTGGCCGAGGGAAGCGGGATGGCTTTTTCGCCGAATTGTTTTCCATCTGATTGTGAAGACATGTTGGGACAGTGAATACGTGAAGGGCCACATATATGCGGGCAGAGTCTGAACACTCCAGACATAAAACGGACGAGGAGAGATAAAGAGACAATCACGAACGGCTGTGGCGGCGTCTTTGTCCATTATCCAGACAGATGGAAGCCTGGCCACAGAACCTGTTTTCTCGTACCATCAACACCATAAAAAATTAGTGCTATGACAGAGAAACGTGGACTGCTACGAACTGGCAGCACGTTGTCTTTATCTTTAGCGACGAATCGATGTTTCTATATTGTTGTTAAGCTTCAGTTTTTTCTATTCGTTCCAGAAGATTCTACCATTGCTCCATTTAAGTCGAATCCTACTCAAATCTACTTAATTTACCAGAATCTTCGAACGTCTTAACTCTAACAAAATTGATTATACCTCGTCTCTGTGAGGATGAACGGAAGACAAAATGCAGAATAAACTGTCGAAATCTGTCTATAGAAAGACCGACGAGGAAACCCCCGAAATTCTGTCGAAAAGTATACATTTCTAACATTAAACCGAGTCGCGACGCGACAATAAAATTTCGACAATTGTCTTCTGTTTTGTTCGAATGCGACTCGGTTAATTGTTTCGAGTATTTTCTGAGTTTTGGTCTAGTTGCATCGATTATTTGGGTAAGTTTAGTCCCTGAACATTCTAGATTTAGGTATTTTTTATGGAATTAGTCGATCGGGTCGGGCAGGAACTACACGCGCACCTTCCTGTCGCGTATTATATTGTTCGGTGGTTCATTAAGTGTGTGTTCAATTCGGTGAAATTAGTTAAGTTGGTATCCTTTGTAACCTGCATCAACTGGCAAGTAAATAAACTTATTGTATCTTTGGTTTATTTAATTGCGTTTTGTTTGTGTACTTCTCGCCCGTTGGTTTAACAACACTATCTCCAATCCGATTCCTCTTTAATTAATTTATAAAAATGTTTGCTCCGAGCTCCATTTGGAGTTTGTGTAATGCAAAAATGCATGTAAATATAGAGAATTTTAACAAGTATCTCCAAATTTCTTCTTTAATTTTGCGTATCAAAACTAAATAAATCTATCCTCTATATCAGGGGTGGCCAACCTGCGGCTCGCGAGCCACATGCAACTCTTTGAAGGATTATTTGTGGCTCTCGATAAATGTACCCGAGTTCCCTTTTCATTTTTGTGTTATTATATTTTTAAAAATTATTATCGTTCCGTATGTGTTTCAAAATGTTTTTTAAATTACTANTTTTTCTTCATTAAATTTTGCTTATCTAGCACAAAACAGACCTACAAAAATCTTCCAAAGATTCCGTTTATAATTATTTACCTTCTTTATTTGCAGACAAAAGTTTAGATATTCTTGATACGATTTATATCTAAATAGTGCTGGATCATACTGTCTTTTGTTGTGAGAAAATTCTTTCAAGCATAGAAGATCCTTCAGGACCTTCTCCATTAATTAATGGTCTGTCTTCACATATACATAAAATATATATACATTTTTAACTAGACTGTTAATATGTCTTAGGAACAGATATCTTACTTACATAAATATACATTTCAATTTGTTTCTCAATGACTTTAAGGAAAAGTTTTACTTTTTCTTCCTATAATAAAATATTTCTTAGAATTTTTTTTTTTTTGGTAAAAAATGCTATATTTAACATGATATTTGTGTATTCAAACTTAATTTGATTTCATATATTTTTCAATACGTTGTATAAAACCTTATGAATATGTGGTCTAGTTATAACCAGTGATGATTTTAGGATGTGCGAGGCCTTCAACAAGGCCCTAGTTAACTATGCCTAGTGAGTGCGGATTCGGAGTTGTTTTTGCGGTGTTTTTTTTTACCTTCCGAGTACATACTGCGTATCAAAAAGTACAGTATATATCTACACGTGTCTGAGGCCTTAAAGCTCCAGATCCCAGGCAACATCATCCAAGAAAAAAAATTGATTACAGTAGATCCCCNCAATACGTTGTATAAAACCTTATGAATATGTGGTCTAGTTATAACCAGTGACAATTTTAGGATGTGCGAGGCCCTCAACAAGGCCCTAGTTAACTATGCCTAGTGAGTGCGGATTCGGAGTTGTTTTTGGTAAAAATGCTATATTTAACATGATATTTGTGTATTCAAACTTAATTTGATTTCATCTATTTTTCAATACGTTGTGTAAAACCTTATGAATATGTGGTCTAGTTATAATCAATGATGATTTTAGTATGTGCGAGGCCTTCAACAAGGCCCTAGTTAACTATGCCTAGTGAGTGCGGATTCGGAGTTGCTTTTGCGATGTTTTTTTTACCTTCCGAGTACTTACTGCGTATCAAAAAGTACAGTATATATCTACACGTGTCTGAGGCCTTAAAGCTCCAGATCCCAGGCAACATCATCCAAGAAAAAAAATTGATTATATTTTTTACCTTTTTGACAGTTTCATCATAAAAAATCTCGAAAAAATTCATTAAATCTTCGCTGGAAACATGAATATTATCAAATCTTTCATATCTAAATTTGCGTAAGGAAGCGGCTTGATATGTTGATGTTAACGTTTTATATAATCTTTACGTAAAATAATTAGTTAATATGAACTTAGAAAATATAAAAGGATATTAAAAAACCGACCTAAAATAAGCCATTTGTATGCATATTTCAATATAAACATCAGGATTGAGGTTTCTCCTTTTGATGAATTCCTTTCCGTATTTAGTAAATTTCATTATTTTCAGATCTAATTCGCTTATGAGTCTATAAATAACCGACCTAAAATAAGCCATTTGTATGCATATTTCAATATAAACATCAGGATTGAGGTTTCTCCTTTTGATGAATTCCTTTCCGTATTTAGTAAATTTCATTATTTTCAGATCTAATTCGCTTATGAGTCTATAAATATATTTGTAAATTAATTAATAAAATAATTTTATAAATATCATCAATGTCATTTTGTGTTTTAAATTAAGATTTAGCATCAGGGCCGAATTTAAACTTAAGGTTAGTGACCAGACGTCTCGAATACCGCCTGATGGCCAGATTAAGATGGCAGCCTACCGCTCTAGGATCAAGAATCAAATTTTGGTTAGCCAAAAAAACCCCAGGAATTTTTCGGGAGTTAGTCCATCCGGATATTTAGATGCTGTTTCTCACTACCGTTTTTCTCTACCCAGTTGCCACATTGTTGGCTTGCTAAAACAAAGCTCTCTTAGTGCTTATAGTGCAGAAAGTTATTTAAAAAAAAATAGATCGATTGACCATTTGATGTCCAGTTTGTCAATTCTATTTCTCGGAAAAAGTGCTGAATGCATGTCAGGTGTAAGTACCACGGTTGTGAGGATCAGTTATAAAAGGGTAATAAATAAAAGGGTTATAATGGTTTTTGCTAATTATCTGAGTTAAAGAAAAAAGGAGATCAAAGCAATCAAAGCTACACTCGGAACCATAATCAAATATGTCACGGACGATCTTCCGAGGGGAATGTCTTCTGGGAGATCTTTTATGAGAAATTGGACTCCTATTTAAGTGTTACTAACACGAAGAAAACCAGGAAAATTCCATATGGCTAGTCAGTTGGCGAGGCGCAAGCAGATTTTTATTTACTCGGCCACTGGTGAGCCATTTTTAAGATTTGTCACTGTAACTTAACATAAACAGCAACACAGGACCTCATAATATGAGTTTCACGCTTTTAAATTTATTATTGTATGGTAGGGCAGGAAAGGTCTCATAAGATATCAATATAGGGAGGGCCACAGCAAGTTTAAATCCGAATTTCATGAACGTAAATTTAATCCATCCGTGGATTTTAATCACTTTATCTAGATACAGATTAATTTTAATCGACTTTCAAGAAGCTTGGAAATAATGTATGGAAAATTCGAATTCGAGTCCAAGTCAAAGAAAATAGCCGAGTCGCTTTGGAGACCCGGAATCGAATCCGGGCAAGTAACTCCTCAAGAATTTTACATGAGCTGTTCTTCATCGCCTATACTCATCGTAAGTTCGGTCGACTCCATTGTGGACCTGGCCAAATCTACGATGGGTATAGAAAAAAAGCTTTCTTAGTTCCCATAGGAGAGAAAGAGCCAAAAATGAAACACACAAAAAAGTCCTTAGCTATTTTTCGTCAGACTAATCCCTCACTACCTGGTTGTCCTCGTTATAAACATGAAAAAAGGCCCTCCTAGTGTCTACCGGGCAGAAATAATTTTAAGGAATTTTAATAACCCTACCTAACATATATAAATTACTATTTAATTAAAACAATATGCAAATAATGCGCAAAAATTCAAATCATTTCATATCACTGATTCCTCCTTAATGACTACTTACTGATTAATTTTATAACCAGCTGACTCAATTTCTAAAACTTCTTTAGGGTGTATTATCCATTTTAATTTCTCTAGATACATAGAATTCATTATTTTCCTTCTAGGACGATTTCTTTTCCTAATTAATTAAAAAAGTTAGTAAACAAAATCATATAATGTCTGACTACCATAAGAAGAGAGTTGATTTTAAATATCGCCGCTAGAGGACTTCTAATCATAGTTTGATACATTATCTATAGATAATTGGTCATTACTTTTAAAAATAAATATCATATATTTATAAATGATAAATTCACTTAATTTATAACGAAACTAAATTAATTTTATTTATTTCTAATGATTAAATTTAACACGAGAGGCAGCGTAACTATCTATCTGTAGTCCAAATTACTATCTTGATAATTAATTAGCCATATTATAGCCTATTAACAATCTAGTTGCATGTTTCATTTTTAAAAATAAACATATCTCGCTGCGATATGTTATAAAATCTCTTCTCGTAGCAATCGGATAATATATAACGATTAATACTTAAACATTTTCAAGCGGAAAATCACAATTAGCAACGATAATTTTCCGAAAAAGAATATTTCGATAACAATTGATCAATCGTTGTGTGTTGTTGATCATCTTTCACTTCAATTCGAGTTATGCTCGTGCGTACGTTTAATGTGGTATATATATAAGTAGAGTGGCAAAAGGAAGTTTTATCACACATTTCATTGGAAATAGACACATCAGTAATGTCTGACAATATGAAACATACGAAAGAATATAGTTGTGTGCTGTGTTCTCGTCTCTTCAAAAGTGACCATAATGTAACCGAGGCATTTGGAAAGGATGTAGTCAACAGACCCGCTACACACTGGTTCAAGAAATTCAAGAATGGAGAAGGCTCTGGGAGGTCATTTTTACACTGTATTTTCTCTGTTATTTATAACAGAGCCGGAAAAGTAAAAAATTCTAAATTTATGCCACGTCGCGCACTTAATTTGTGAAGAAAAAAGCCAAATAAAAAACACCCGCAATGTTTTTGAAACGGTTAACGTTTAATGTCAAAGTACGAATCACAATTTTATTTTCTAAGGTGCAACCGCAATGAGAAAATCAATCGTCCTTCGTCTGGCGGTTGACATTTCCTTCAATTTTCTGCAATTTTGGTGTAATTATTAACACAAGAATAAAATTAATTGTGAATATCTTGCAAAATTAACGACCGTTGTTTTAATTAAAATTTTCTAAAGTAATTCTTTGTTAAAAACGGTTTTATAATTTAAAAGACGCAAATGCGACAATTAAAAGTGTTTATTTTCTCGTCGTCTCTCGTACTTTTATGACCGAAATGGCCTAGTGGGATATAACCTTCCGCGTGTCCTAAAATTCGTATAAAGTTCGAATCTATTTCTTCTCTGGAAATTTTAACGGAAAATATAAGTACAGTAGACCCCCCTACACGGGTTCCTATAATTACGATTCCTATAAGACGGCGAAAAAATTGCAACGGTATTAGTACAAACCTGGTACAAAAACTTTTATAATTCGGTAAAACGTCATTGGGCAGCCGAACTACTTTCCGCCGTCCAGCGCCACGCAACGGAAAATTTAGGCAAGTAAATGGAGTTTACTATCGTCTGTACAGGATTATATAAATATATAAATTATATATAAATTAAAAGTACTGTATATATAATTATTTATTAACTTAATTTATTATAACTTTATTATAATTATATATATACTTTCTGCCGTCCAGCGCCACGCTACGGAGAGTTTAGGCGAGTAAGTTGAGTTTACTAGCGTCTGTACAGTATGTAAATTAGGTACCGTAAGTCTAATACAGCACTAATTTTATACATTTCTTGTGAAAGAAACATTTCTTATTCAACGGCCATAAAAATTATTTCTATTAATGATGTCTCCAAAGTTCAACGAATTTTTCGCAGAAAAATAACTTATCAGAAATCGCGGCCGCCATTTGGTGTACTGCTCCACGACGAAAACAAGCTTAAGCAATGGCAATGTCAAACGGTGCACACTCGGTAAGTAATCCTACAATTTTTTGTTTATAGCATAGTTTATACGGATTATTCCCAAAAAATTATACGTGTTTTGGAAATGTTGAGTCGAATTAGTCTAGAATCGATTAATTTTATGGAAGAAAACCTTTCAAACAGCTGTAGTCCGTAAACTTCACACGCGTCAGGCTGTGATTAGCAAGGACTCGTAAGAAATCGATTCATAAAGAACGGAACGTATCTACCGTGTTATAGGGAGTCGACTGTACTTTATGAAAAGACGTTACAGAAAGCATCCTTTATAAGAAAATAGCAATCTTTCGTAAGGTAATTAAGTATTTAATTTGTATACATCTAATTATTATTACATTTTTTACTCTATATACTGACAGCTTGCTTAATTTTAATTATAGCAATAGAACTAATTACAGTATATCCCTAGTTTACAAAAAATTTGAATGCAATTCCAAGAAAATAGTACAAGACATACGTTCCATATATTATATTAAAAGTTTATTAGAGTAGCGATCATTCTACATATTTGCATGGGAATGTATAAAATGAGCGTTAAATAATGCACACATATTTAATAATGTATTCAAACATGCATAGGCGATTTAAACTGCAATTTAAAGTGTTTATTTGTACATAAATACATTCACCACTCGATACAGTAAATAACATTGTTAATTTTTGCTAGTCATCACGCTTATAATTAATTTCAATGGTAAATTTTCATTAAAAGTAAGTTGTAGATTACAGAACTACCAGTTTTCCCTTCTCGAAAAAGCTATATTTTTTAACATATTAACGTGCATATGCCGCTAAAACCATTTTAAACTGTTTGACAAAATATAAGTATGTTTGCACGCCACAATCAAGTGTTAAATTAGATTACCACGTATTAAATTTGTACTCTGAAGTTTTACTTTTAAAATCGGTGAAATAATTATTTACCATTCTTACCAACACATCAGACATAGTTACAGGAGTTTGATAACCACAATGCTAACAATTAATATTCCGTGTCAATTTCACACCAATAGAAATCACATACTATAAATCACTTTATTTCAGAAAGATGTGAATAAGGCTTCACCAGACTGCAATAAGGATTCATAACCCACAAACAGACAAAATAAAAAGAAACAGCTCACATTTAATACGTGTTAAAATTACTGTATTTATTGACTTTTTTCTATTTTAACTATTCAAAAATTTGAACAATAAACATACTTTGATGTGATAAACTATACGAATGGAAAGAACTTTTGTTTAATTAATTTGTAATTTTTTAACAGAAAATACCAATTTCGACACTGAACACTTTAGCGGACAATTCTGAAAAACTATGTTCTTTCGTCGGATATAGTGATAAATTTCATTTGGAACCATTTAATGTTTGCCATTGTGCGAAATCATATTTTCCCAGACTCTTAACTACACCGACAGAAGATGAATTATTCCGTGCACGTGTCTTCCTACATAAAAGTAAGCACAGTAAGTACTTGCATTTTTCTCAACTATCGCTTTTGCGACGACAAGTATTGTGTTTAACCATTTATTCAATTATAAAAGAAAACGTCCAACTATTATTTAATGTTCAATCACCAACAGAAGACGAAATCGAAATAAATATTGCCACGTTTCCACTAGTTCCGGGCTTTAATATTCGTCATTTTTCGTTTACATTCGAAGAAAGCCTTAATATTCATGAAGAAAAAATGTACGTTTCGAAGCTACTCGAGATACCAGAAGAGAAACTGAAGAGCGTCATCGGACTTAACGATTGTGAAATCGATTTCCATGACGATGGGAATGGTGCATACGTTGGTTACTCGCTTAAAAATCCTATAACAAGGGACATTGCTTTCTATGGTGAGAGAGTTCGGGCAGTTTCTTTACGTATCGAATGCGATTATTATAGGGTCAAAGAAAAGTTAAACAAACTAAAACGTTTGAAACCGGAAATGGTGCAAGAGAGATGTTTCTCATTCATTTTTTCTAAAATATGGAAGAAAAGTGTAAATGCAATACTGGACGCGTTCAAAGCAGAGTTTTCTTTCGTTACCTTTGTTGTTCATCACTATTTTTCGGCATTTGTAGTGTTGAATCCACCCGAAAATTACAATTTGGATTGTGAGGAATATTTACCACTTAGAGAATTTGCACGTGTAGTTTTTGTACGGTACGAATGAAAATGTAGTGATAAAACGCAATATTTTTCACTGGAAGCAAATTAAATCGTGTTGCAACGTTGTACATTCTTTTGTATTGGATTAGGTTATGTTTTAACATTTGTTCAATATTGTATTGAAAAGTTTGTGATGGGGTGAATACTCTTAAGAAGATCTGAGAAATTATGTGAATGTCGTTCTAAAGAGCAAATTTAGTTTGAAAATAATAAATTTGGACGAGTAAATTGTCAGGTTAAATAACACCGTAGTTATTTCATTAATCTTATATTCTGAAGTTGTAATGTTAGAATTGGCCTCTATTCTTACTCGTATTTTCGTACTTGGTGTGAATACCATTTCAAAAATCGAAGCGAAATTAATGTTAAATATATTTTAATTAATTACAAAATTATACTAATTAAAAGCAAATAAAAGTTGTTTTTATAAATGTAACATTCATTTCCTTGCATTTAATTAGTACTAATGTTATTCAATTTCTTTGAATTATTATTTAATTAATAACAATAAATACTAACATAAAAGAAGCGTGAGCGTGCAGCCTAGTTATGAGTCTAATCATATTTACGTAGATAATCTGAAAGTGGAATGTGAGACTTTATATATAACTAATATGATTTTGAAATTGTTGATTATGGTTATTATATAAAAGCATTTTTTATTTGACGATATAAAATATATAAATACAAAAAATACTAATATAAAAGCCGTCGTTTGTGTGTGAATTAATGTGATATCGACCACTCTTTGGTAGATGGTGACACTGTCTACGAAAGAGTAGTCGATAGTATTACTATATCGAGTGGTCGCTGTATGAAAACTCTGCTGTATTTATGTAGAAATTGCATTCTAAACCGCTTATGCGTGTATGAATAGATCGTCGAATAAAGCACACATACTGTAGAGTA